ACATCCACCAAGAACGAAACTCAGGCGTTGCGAGTTGCCATGTGCAGCTCAGCTGCAGCTCAGGAGAGAGCAGGGAGCTCCTCACGCCCTGCTCAGACCTGCCCAGCCCAGATCGTGTCACACACACAGCTCTGCCCCAGAATTCATTAACGCCCAGTGACTTCACTCTCGCTCAGCTTTGTCCCACGCCTGGAGCAGAGGAGTGGGAGAGCAGCCGGCTCTGGATCACCCACCTGGGCTTGTGGGATGGATCACGGGCACAGCTGGAGCTGCACTGTTAATGTCAGCCGGGCACTGACAGCACGCAGGTTCCCTCGGAACCCGGCTGCTTCGTGCACCTCCTCCAGAACGTCTGGGGTTACTCTCTTTATTACATAAAAGAGTGGAAAATTCCCGTTCCCAGCAGGGCTGTCACTCAGAGATGACTGCACGCCCAGCCGCTGTGCTGCCCCACCAGAACCACGTTCGCTCTTCACACTCCGCAGGGATTTTTGGGATACCCAGAGAGTTTGTGGCTGCAAGAAATGGGTGTGAAGCCAGGGCAGCTCCTAGGGCCGGCAGGGTGGAAGGAGCAGATCCCAGGATCTCAGGAGCAGCTCCCAGGGCCGGCAGGGTGGAAGGAGCAGATCCCAGGATCTCAGGAGCAGCTCCCAGGGCCGGCAGGGTGGAAGGAGCAGATCCCAGGATCTCAGGAGCAGCTCCCAGGGCCGGCAGGGTGGAAGGAGCAGATCCCAGGATCTCAGGAGCAGCTCCCAGGGCCGGCAGGGTGGAAGGAGCAGATCCCAGGATCTCAGGAGCAGCTCCCAGGGCCGGCAGGGTGGAAAGAGCAGATCCCGGGATCCCGGGAGCAGCTCCCAGGGCCGGCAGGGTGGAAGGGGCAGACCCCGGGACCTCGGGAGCTGCCACCCTGGCATTGCCACCCTGCAGGTGCAGCACTGTCCGGGTCCTCACTCATCACAGCCACGTCTTAAATCCCCAGTGATGCAAAACCAGCTGGGGAGAGCTCGCAGAGAGCCCAGGACAGCCTGTGAGGATTTAGGCCCGAAATGCAAACGCAGTCCCGGACAGTGCGCGGTTGGTTCCATCACCGGTACAAGCTGTCACCCGCCGAACGCAGCCCGGCCCCCCATCCCGGGAGCAGCTCCCAGGGCCGGCAGGGTGGAAAGAGCAGATCCCGGGATCCCGGGAGCAGCTCCCAGTGCTGGCAGGGTGGAAGGGGCAGATCCCAGGATCTCAGGAGCAGCTCCCAGGATCCCGGGAGCTGCCACAGGCTCGGGTCTGGCATTACCACCCTGCAGGTGCAGCACTGTCCGGGTCCTCACTCATCACAGCCACGTCTTAAATCCCCAGTGATGCAAAACCAGCTGGGGAGAGCTCGCAGAGAGCCCAGGACAGCCTGTGAGGATTTAGGCCCGAAATGCAAACGCAGTCCCGGACAGTGCGCGGTTGGTTCCATCACCGGTACAAGCTGTCACCCGCCGAACGCAGCCCGGCCCCCCATCCTCCTCCCCGAGCACTGACCGCCCTCCGGGGCTCCGCGGGGCCTCCGCGACGGGCTCGGCACGGCACGGCCCCGGCCGCAGCCCGGCAGCTCCCGGCCTGCTCGGGCCGCGAGTCACCCAAGGGCCGGGCCCGCCCGGAGCCGCCAGGCACGGCCCGAGAGCCCCCGCGGCCCTTCGGGGCGCACCCGCCGCACGTACCGGCTCGGAGAACGGCCCCGAGGACGGCCCCGGCTGCCAGGGCGGTGCCGAGCGCCCGCCAGCCCCCGCGGAGCATCGTGCACCCCGCCCGGCCCGGTTACCTTGGCTGTCCGCCCCAGGAGGCGGCGGCAGCGCCGGCACGGCCCGGCCCGGCCCGGCGTGCTCGGGGGCGGCGCTGTGCCC